GAAAGACCAATGTCAGTCATCGCCAGAATCTCGATAGAAAACATTGCAAACTAAGCCATAATCGTGAATGGAGAATCTTTGTAGGATTATAAGGAAGGATACTAGCATTTTGTGCTTGTGTCTGTTTTTCTTTCGAGTGGAGCTGTTTGTATTAATAGAAATCCATTCAAATCAATGAAGCAGTGTTCGTTACAATCATACATTCATTTTGCTTTTTCATACTAATTCATTGATAAACATTTAATGTTGCTGAAATATTTGTCTAAAGTATGATAGGATGGTCTTGAAGAACTAGTTATTTGGAACTTGTATGGTATTTTTCTTCGTCGAAAAAGAGCTTTTTGAAATTCACGTTTTTTAATAAGCACATATCTATCTAAGAAAGAATTTAAAAAGAAACAACCCAGATATCGCCCTTAAGTAGAAATAAATTAGTTGACGTAAAGATTCTGAATGCGATCATGTATATATATAATTAAAAGAAGATATTTACTCTTAAAAATTGAGTTTCAATATAAAAGAAAACGAATCTTTTTGTGTATCAAAAGACAATATTTTCGCCACATGTTTGTTTTAGTTTTAATCATTATTACTAATGCCATAATTCCTTAACTAATGATTCTTTCTTTTCTTTGCTGAAACCCAGTTCTCGACACAGCTGTTGGACGGAGAGCCCGTGCACATTAACTATACGCAATGGTACACACGTACAAAAGAAAAAGAAAAAGAGTTACGAAACGTTGTTGTCGACAACGACAACAGTGAAGGAATAATATAAAACGGCTACGGTTGACGAAACCTGACTCGTTTTCTTTGTCGTTTCTCAGCTTTTACTTTTGAATCCCTATACATTCGATGTGTTTGGACTATTAGCCATCTATTACTTCTTTCATTTTCATAAATCTTAAAAAGAAACATTGGAATACAATGTTAGAAAATAATAAAAATGATTTTTGAAGAGTAATTATAGTTCAAATAGGAAATGTGTTTTCAATAAATGATCTTTGTTTTTATCAAAACCATTTTTTATTTTTAAAAAATAGTCAGAGAAAAAAAGAGACGAGGAAAAGGAGAGTAATAGAAGCGAACAATTTTACTCGAGTTTTATGTGATTTTAGTTCATTTTCTTCATTGAAATAGCATGCGAAGATTGGCATGAAAACATATGCAAAATATTTACTGAATTGGTTAATTTGACTACTATTAGTTGTCAAAAATTTAAATATTCAAGTCGCGGTCTTAAACTACCATTTGCTAAATAATATTTTGTATTTTAATTAGTTTAAGTTACATATTTTTATTTCAATTAACTAGGTATTGAAGCATGCATGTCAATACGATTACGAGCCACACTTTATTTTATTCTTTTACTTTACCTGTTTCTTGGTATTGCTATTATTGCTGAGAAATTCATGTCGGCTAGTGAAACAATAATATCAAGAAAACAAAGAATATATTATCCATATTCTCGAGAAAAAGATAAATATTTAACTGTTGTAGTCCAAATATGGAATGATACAGTTGTTAATTTTAATATTAATAGCACTTGAGTCAAGCTCCGCAGAAATTCTATTATCAATTATTGAAATTATTAGAAGTCGCTTTGAAGCTGGTGAACTTGGTCCTGGAACTAATAAGACTGTTACTTACTTTTCTTGCTATTCTATACGAATTCCAATTTTCTTAAAAAGGAAACTTGTGATAAAAAACTTTAGATTTTTCACAAAGAGTAGTAGATGATAAGGTCATGATATTATAATTTGTCCTTTGAATTCCGTTAGTCACTTATCATTGATTACAACAAGAAACCTTGTTTTTTCATTTATGTTTTCATGTTTTCAAACATCTAGTGTAAATTTCATATCAACCAAAAATGAAGAAAAAGAGATTTATCATTTTCAACTATTTCCGTTTATTTTTTGAAAAAAAACATATTTCATATAGACTGAAATGAATAAGAATTCGCAGAATGCGACAGTTGTCTAACAGTGTCCTACATCGTTCAAATCTTGTGATCCCATCTGACTCGAGTTCAGCTATGTTTTTGTGACTTGATTATAGGCCAATATGGCACTCATATACCGATTTACAGGCAACGGTCACTATTATTTTCTTGAGCAAATTCAATTTATCAGTTTTTCCTTTATTTTCTTACATAGTAAGTAACAAAGGATATGTCCTTGATTTTTTTCCGTTTAGGTTATTTCGTCAATATCGGTTAGTTAACGTGGCAACATCAAGTAATCATACTTTTTCTTATTTTTCGTTATATTTCGAATACAAGCTATAGTATCTATATCAATATTTCCTATAGGATGTGCTGATCATGGGTGTGAGTATGTGGGTGCAACTAAATATAAGGGTACTATTCAAAATCGTACCTACATCCTGCTCTACTTCCTCGTTTCAGCATAAAAGACGGTGACTTTGGATGCTCGCCTGTTGAAATTGATCTTTGATGAATTATTAATTAATGCTTTTCAGGTGTTTGTTATGGAAAAAAAACTGCTGCCTCTATATTAAAAATACGCTCAAGCAGAACTGTCATCAAGAATATCCAGATAAAACTAGCAACTTTTGATCTCTTGCTTCCTATGTCTAAACTTGTTCAGTTTCATCGATTTTCTCCTTCTTGAAATATACTACTTGTTTTTGTGGAACTTGCATATATATTTTTTCGAAGAATTGCAACGGAATGAGCGAGAAAGGTCAACGGCTATTAGGTGAGTTTACATAGCAACGAAGGACAACAAGGGTCACACTACTTTAGAAGAGTTTCTTACCAAAGGAAGAAGGGTATGCGTGGGTGCGAATATAGGTTCTCGCCATATCCACACCTACAGTCTCAACTTGCAATCATCTGATTCTGAAGCACGGCAAGAAATACATTATGGTATTTGCGCTGATCAAAAAGGACCCATTTGATTCATATTGAATTTATAAGATTTGAATTGCTGGACACAATATTATATCAATATAGTACAGTTTGTTCAGCTTTTCATTCTGTCTTCTGATATATACCATGAAAAATTTGAATCATCTATCGATATGCAAGCGGATACACCTTCTATAGAGTATTTTTTCTTGCTTTTTCCCAAAAAGGTATGATAGTGCTAAAAATCTGTGTTAGTTAAGCTTTCAAAGCAAGAGTATTGCGAGCTAAAATGTTGAGGTCAATGGTTTTCAACAATGATGCTTTGAATGTACAAAAAGATCGAAAAGAAACTTATCGAATAACTTGTACATTAGAGGGATACTTAATCGTCTCATGGAAGCTTTCTTAAATCAATAGTTAGAACATCAATACTAATATTGTTAAGTCAAGAAAAAAAAATGATCGAATATCAACAAAGAAAAAAATTTCTCTTTAACATACATTAATCAATAAGGCAGGTCATTTCTTTGGTAATCGATGTATCCTTGGAAATAACAAAACTTTTTAACGTGACTGAACTGATAAAATTGTTATTAAATGAGAGTTCATTATATAAATAAATCAAAAATGCAAATGAATGAACACATATTTCATAAACGAATTCAACTTCTTACAAAATTTTGTTTTTTTTCTTTTTAAAAACATATAATGGACATATAAGAAAGAAATAAGTTTCATATCAATCCCAGTCGAATCTGTAACAATATTCAAATAACTGCTTCGAAAAGTAACTATCTGTCTATGTAGGGGTGTGGGTGTTGGTGTGCGTGTGTGAATGTAGAGGTGAGTGCAGTTGTAGGTATTGGTAGTAGTGCGTGTGGGTATTATCCTGTTCTTCAACAATGCGATCACACCCACACCCGATTTGTGCTACTAATTAAAACAAGAAATGATGCAATCATCAACGCGTGTGAGTGTGAGTGTGGATGTGGGAATTTCAGAAAAAGAGAAGACTCACAGTCACATCCACATTCACACATCCATATCCACACACTCACACTCACACGCATACCCACCCATACCCTTGATGGACTTGTTTGTCTTGTTTTGACACTTGGTGTTGATGCTATTCCTTTGAGTCGATCCATCACTAACTGAAAGAATATTGTCTTCGAGCTATTCATAGTTTTATAATCAATGTCAGCTCAATTGACACAACTCACGGCACATGACCAGGATCAATCGTCTTCAACAACGTTCAGTAATGGTTTATTACTATTGACGTGATGATCTATCAATAAACACAATATCAGAGTTTTTGTGAAAAAAAATGCAAAAAAAATCGAATAATTGACAAAAGGACTAATGTCTTGAATACCGAAAACTAGGTAAAATCTTCATTGTATTTCGAAACTACACGCATATTGTCAAAATAAATGTTTCGCACAACAAGTGGCAATATCATATTCAAACTCTATGAATCAATAGATTTTCTAATCAATCATATAAGAAGAAATTTTACAATTCTATATCAAAAGAAGAGAGTGCATTTGTGCGGTATTCAAACGTATTGTGATCATACTCTCGCTTTCTGCTGTTTGCCATTATCTTGCCGCAATGAACACTATTTAATATTGCGATAAATAGTGTCATCTTTCTGCTCAATAACGGCGCTTTATGCCGTTTTGGCTCTATTGCGGCGCTGCTTAATAAAAGTAGACAACATGGACCTATTTACATGGCAAATTAATCGTTTCATGAATAGCAAATTTTGTGTTAGTAATTGTGAATAGTTTTTATAGAGATGTTTTGATGATGAATAAGACTCAATTAAAAATTACCACGCACTGTTACAATATATTTCATATTTATTCATAGGGTCACTATACTCATTAGACTTTTTTTCTTGACAATCATTATAAATATTAAAGTAGTTTGATGAATCTGAAAGGAATAAAACTATTGAAAAGGTACAGTTTGTTATTTATTTTTCGTTTTACCTGTATGGATTGATACATTTATTAAAAGTGAAAGAAAAATAAATCACTGGCATTATACACGATAGAAAAAAAGTGCGACTATAGAGCAGTAGGATCACCTGATTTATTTTTTTTTGCTTCGAAAGATGCAGCTTGGAATAATTTCATTAATGTTGTTATTGATTGGATCTAATGAAGGACTCTTCAATGGTGATATATCAACAGTGAGCAACAGAACACTAAATCGTCTTAATTTAACATGCTTCTATGATGATAGTTTGGTAGCTAACTCTGAATATTGTGTTTATCAATTTTTTTCTAATGGTTCATCATTAAGAACATTATATGACTATATGAGAGTAACAAATATATATAAAACTATTGCTCAAAGATGTACAGGATTTTCAAATACAATTGATGTTGGTTTTGGATTTTGTTCACCTCTGGAATTTGAATTATTTGATATATCAATACTTTGTATTTGTGCTACAGATATGTGTAATAAAAATTTTACTTCATGTCAATCATCAGTAACTAATCAATTGCAAATAAATTCTGCACCTTCTGTTCTTTCTTCAATGGTTCCTGAACTGAATACACCAATATCTTGTTATGATTCATCAGATTCATTAAATACAAGTTTCTATTGTGCAAATTTTGCTTCTCCTTATATTGATATTCAAAAATGCAATGAATATACTATGAACAACACGTTAGTATGCATGTATCAAATGTCCAGCGATGGTCCATTTTTTCTTGCACTCACCACAGATATTTACAAGTATTATCTATCAGCATCACTTTCTAGAGTATATCAATTTAACCAGGTATCAAGTACAACATTGTCGTACAATGAAACATCATCTTCTTTCTATATCAATTATATACTTCGTTATCTAGATGGTAATAATACTATATCAATGAATATAGAGAGATGTTTTTGCACTCAAAACTATTGTAATTACAATTTAACAACTTGTCTTAGTGCGAATGGAACAACAACACCAATACCAACAGGAGATAGTGTGAGAAGTAAGTTATTAAATGATTATGATTTTCGTATGAATATATTTTTTCTTCAGAAAATCCAAACAATATCATTGTTTTTCTTTGGCTTTATCTCATCATCAAATTATTTTCTCTTTTAAATCTCGCAATTTAATATTCAATTCATTCGAAAAAAATTGTATTCAAAATTAACTCAACTTATTCCATTAAAAATTTAAATCTTGTTGTTTTGTTAATAAAACACTTATTCTAATATATTATAATAAGATAATGAACAATAAAAATTTCAAAATAAACTTACATATTAATGAAAAGACCTTGAAAATAAAACTGTATCTCTGTGCAGTTTCCAACTAGGCATTGATTGAAAAAACAAATAATACAAAAGAAATAAGGACGGAGAAAAAATATGAATTTATGTTTATTCATATTGACACCAATTTATCAATGTAAAATCAAGACAAGATTCTTTCGAGAACACACGATTCTATTGAAATTCTAATAGTCCTAATGTTTTACAAACAATTTCAGAGACATCGAATAACTTTTTGCGATGCATGTCGGATCACGCATAAATCCGTAAACTATACAATGAGAATGTGCAAATAACAAAAAAGTGGTCGAATGTTCCTTAGGTTTTCTATACAACTTAATGAGTTTTCGGAACTTTCCTCGAAAACTCAGAGCTCGTAAAGATTCGAAAACCCTGAAGGGTTTTCGAGATATATTCGGAAATCATTCTGAATTTCTAACAAACGCTTTCACTATTTCCGATGCCAAGAAATAAAAAATGCAAAGGTGTACAAGGATATGCTTCAGATTTTCGAGTGAGATTTTTCAATCAATAGAGATTTCCGAGGAAACCTCCCGTTTGTTGGAAATAGCAGCAGAATCTCTGAGAATACGCTTCAGGGTTTTCTCACCCAGTTTTTCGAAAACTCAACAGTCTCTGGTCATTCTGAAACGGTTTTAGAAGAAGTTTTGGTTTCTGAAAACACGTTTTTTTTTAGAGTCCATCTTGAAGTAGCCCTTTAAAAGCTACAGGTATGATATCCTAATAGTGTTTGAAAAGTTGCGGATATCATGTCAAGGTAATTCAGGGTGTGGGTGTGGATGTCTATACCACTAAAGAACAGTTCGTAACCCCACGTTTGCTCACACCCAGACCCTTGTTTAGATAGTGAACAGCAGGGCTCGAAACGGGCCAATTTTTGATGGCTCAGCCCGGCCCATACCGGGCCAAGAATAGTTCATGCCCGCCCGGCCCAGCCTCTTCTATATTAGAACCCAGCCCGGCCCGCCCGGCCCGGCCCGAATAACAATGGCACTATTATCATTATAGTTCTTTTATAAAGAAGGTTTTCACGTGACGGAACCCAATATCACTGGATTTAGAGATGGTTATTTCTCGTTGATTTATTTTAATTTTAAACTTGTTGAATTTTAAATGAAGTATAGATTTGAACGTTGAAGAGTTAAATAAATTTTAAATTTGATTTATTTATATGAATTTCAATAAGTGAAATTTAAAAAAAATTTAACTTTTTGAATATCAGAACTTAAACTAATTTTAAATGTAAATTTACAAATTTACATTTAAAATAAATTTAAACTCTCGTACCTGAAAACTTAAATTTATTTTAGATTTAGATTTTTAAAAATTAATTTTTGGTCTTATTAAGTTTTTATAAATGCAAAGTTGATCATCCCTACACTGTTGTAATTTTTCAAATCATTATAAGAACGTTACTTATGATCATGATGATCACGACTTGAATAAGGTTAGACAATTCTAAGTCTTCAAAAAAGGCTGGTAGATAAGTCGAATTACTTACTGAATCAATAGAGTAAGATGAATCCATCGACACTTCAACTTCTGGAATACTATTATTTATTAGCACGAACCTCACAGAAGTGAAACACCAACTGGTCAAATTCAATGAGTCACATGGGTTGATATTTCTACTTTCTCTACTAATTTTAGTATACAGCAAAAACTGTTCCACTTAAATACTGTTTATGTGGCTTAATACAGTTAATAGTTCACTCCATTTTCTCTGTGAATGAGGTGTTATCATACTGAATAAATACTTTGTTTTCATTTATTGTCTAAATGAAATTTCCAAAGACTTCGCATGGTGAAGCTTCTTGATCGTTAACAATCCTGAGATGTACAACACATGTAAAAAAATGTCAATGAAAAACTTAAAAAAACCGATTATTATTTTTTTGTTAAAAATCGATTAAAACGATGCCACTTAATTCTTACTGAAAATGAATTTTTCAACATGAAAAATAGATTTCATTTGATTTTACTATTTTAAATCGATTTTTAGTCGAATAATAAAGTCCTATTGATTGAAATTGGTTTTTAGAAACTGATCAAGAATGATTAAAATCAAATGATATCTATTCTTGAACCTGACAAATCAGATTCTGACTGGATCCAAATGGTGTCATTTTAATTGACACTTGTTCATAAAAAAATTAATTCTAATCTAATTTATCGATATTTTTTCTTACACAAGTCAGTATTAATTGATGTCTATCTTAACGCCTGCTATACGTGTCAAAGTCTAGGCTAGTGTGATAATCACGATCTGCTAAGCTAGGCAGTTCGAAAAAAACAGAGGTTCGAGTTCCTAACTTAAAACCCGAGAAAAACCTGTTTTACGACCACCACCATTTAAATCAAGTGAAAATTAACTAGTTACTCTAATTTTGATTAAATGATGACAATTCCACCTTAATCGATCTTTAGCTAGGAAGAAGTCGACTGGAATCATTTTTTTTTGTCTTGTGTGAGAAATTTTCCTTGCAAAACAGAAGTAAAGTTCGGGCCGGGCGGCCCGGAAGAATTTGAAGCCCGCCCGGCCCACCGGTCTTCGTTGAGGAGGCCCGCCAGGCCTGGAATAAAGACCTTCTCTGGCCGGGCTGGGCCGGGCCGAGCCGGGTCCGGTCACCGGGCCGGGTGGCCCGTTTCGAGCCCTGATTCGTATCGATCCCACTTGACATTGTATACTGGACTCGAACATCCTGAGTCATTCCAACTTGAGTTGTAGGTATCGTAGAATGAACAATAAAAGTCGACATTCTCGATTGGTTCTCGAACAAAATCCTTTGTAACACGAACATAAAGTGAAATATTCATATTGGATGTGATCTGTGAAGTATTGCTCTGTATATTAGCTACAATAACAGATGATGCCAATGTTCTGTTCATTGTGTCGGTCACATTTTGATATTCGATAGCCAAATCGATAATCAGCATTCGAAGAAAAGAAATACTAGCAAACGACTTGAAATTATACACACCACCGACGGAAATATTTGAGTTGATATCTGTCTCACGAGTATTGTTAACAATAATTCTACCGCTACTATTCGATGATAATACTGATCCCACTACTATGCTGCTACTATTAGTGAAAGGCGTTTGTGGCATGATGAATCCGTTCCGTACACTTGTTTCGACACTAATATTTAGTCGGGAAACAGCGTTTTCGATGTCCTCTGGTGCCAAGGGGAGCCGCTATGGCTGAATGGTTAAGTTGTTTGACACATATCCACAAGATACTGTGTTCGAACCTCGGATCCATCAGTCATAGAATGACTTTGGACAAGTCACTAACGGCTGTTTTGTCTCGGATCACCCATCCGATAACAAATTGACTACGTTGTTGACATACACTAAATGGTCCTTGTGACTAGTATGTGGTTAGTCAGTATGTATGGGGAGCTTAAGAAATTAAGCGAGAAGAACTCTGAGTCAGGCCGGCCTTCTGTCCAGAGCTACATTTAGTAATAGATGTAGGAAAATATCGGGCTTCTCGAAACTGTCCTCGGACAGCACCCTATACCGCAAGGTAGCCGAAAGGCGGGGTATTCTTCTTCTTCTTCTTCTTCTGGTGCCAAGGTTTCATTCGATACAGTCTGATTCAAGTAAATTGCTAAAGCGTTAGCGATTTCTGTCGCAGTTGACTGATTGTTACGAATTATGTCTACCGCAGCTTCCTAAATACAACAATATGAGCGTACATACGATATCTATTTCCAAGGTTATTGAAACCATCTAGAACTTACTGGGCCAACACTTGTAGTTGTTATCGCTGTGGTCGTGGTTGTTGTTGTAGTCGTTTCTGTAGTTGTTGTAGTGGTCATTTTTGCCGTTGTTGTAGTTGCTGCTGTTGTGTTCGTGGTCATTTCTGTAATAAAATAGAACGAAGTATTATCCTACGAGAGTTGGCATAATTCTCACATATAGAACTTTTAAGAGTTCTGTGTTTTACAAATTTCCTGTTATCTACATTTTCGTTGTATGCGCATCACCATAATTTTATTAAGGATTCTGTTCATGACAACCAAAGTTTAAAAAAAACTCTCATCACCAAGTAGAGTTTGATTTCATCTTGTCATTCATTATATGTAGTTATTCCTCTATTCAAATGAAAATTCTGCTTAAAACTTTGTTTTTACGGCAGAATTTCGACAGAATGCTGATATCCTAGCAGAGTTTTGCTTCTTTTATTTGATCAAACAATATTATATTCAGAACAGTATTATGTTATGAAGAACTATTTTTTGAAGACGATTACAATAGAATTGTGTCGTTTACAGAACTTTTTATTTAATGTACGGGTTATTGTTGCATTGAAGAGGATGGTTTTAAAAAAATTTTAATAATCAAATTAAAAAAATAAGGCAAATGATATAATCGAGAAGTAATTTATGATAATTTTTGAATTAATCCTTTCTTGCCCTATGGTATTTATCAATATCATTTTATAAAAAATTGATTGTTTTAAACTATGAGACATTTAGGAAAGGGTTTTATATCAACTTAAAGCCTATCTATTATAGACTTCAAATCAACACAATCTCAATATGGTCTTTATCATAAAAATAACTTTTTTTATGTTCGCTGAATATATAATGTGATGGCACGCACAATAATTCATAAGAAAGGCTTGTTTGTTGGATTTGGTTCAAACTTTTCCTGTGTAAACTAGAGGTCACAAGATTGATGTTATTGAGTGAATTACCCTTCCAAACCGTCAAGTTGAGTCAAAGGCAAGAAAGGGTTAAGATAAAAATGCTCTAAGAAATAATTATAATTAATCGTTGTTATCTGAGACTGATATTCTATCAAACAAGTTGAAACTTCTGATATAAGTATTATTCGTTCAAATATTTACTTTCACGAATAGAAATCTTCTTGTTTATGAGATGATTAGTGGTACCTTTCATTCAGGATTACTTGACCACACATACATATTCATTT